TTATCTTCTCAATTCAAGAACAAATGCACTCATTTTAAGAAAAAAATGAGAATTCGATTTTTGCCATTGCACTCCTCTGATCCTCATCATAATTGTCCTCAAGCTACATAAGAATTAATAATCAAAATCCATTAATCGTCTCGAAAATGCCACGTTTTATGTTGGACAGCGCACAGTCCTGATTCTCTGAGAACGATCATAACTTTGGCATCTGTGACATCATCTGCTGAAAATAGGTTTGGCAGGAATCTGATGGTAACCCATGGACACCTAACGGGCTAATGCATTAATCCTGTTTCTACATGTAACAGCAGTTAGATATAATGGAAAGTGTGGCCGACTTCTTGGATTTTATTGCTGTATTGTAATTACTGCTGCGCCAATGCCATTTTTTGGCCCCAATACCGATACCCGATACCTGGCTGTGCAGTATCAGCAAATACCGATATCATCTGTTTGAAATTGATGTGTTTGTATATATATGAAGAACTGCATACTACCTGGATATAAAATAATTGCTATCATGGTTTTATCAAGCTGCTGCCTACCTTTGTGAAGCAGGAAAAAGACTAATACTGCTTTTTTTGTAGCACTCTGAGGCCTTTTTGGTGAAAAGTGCAGTATAAATTAAATGAATTATTATTATTATTATTATTATTATTATTATTAATACAACGTGAATCTACTAGAACTTTTTATTGCCTACCTGGAATGGGTGACAATAGTTGAATAAACTTTTGGCTCTCAAAATGGTATGGGTGCCCTATTTGTCTGTACTCGCCGATATCGATACCACCATTTAGTGCTGGATCGGGGCCCCGGCCGATACTGGTATCAGTATCAGTGCAACACTAATTGTAATTCTGAAAGGCAACACTTTGCTGAGAAACAAAAAAAGAGAAATTTTCTGTGTCTGCTGACCTAACAGCATCTGTGAGATAGTGCCAGCAGAGGTAGATAGTCCTGGAGCTGTACTGGATGGACTGGTAGAGGGACAAAGGACTGGAACGAGTGAGGAAGACTCTGGATTGCTCTGTGTTGCTGTAAAAAACTGAAGAAGAGGAAGAAAGACGAATAAATAAAGGAAGAACAATGTGCAGGTTTAACTGCAGCAAAAGGTGATTCTACAAAGCATAGCATAAAGCTGCAAATTCAGACCACACTTTTCAGATATCTATTTGTTAGAAAAATGTCCTTCCCAGGCCCCATACAAAGCCTCCATTAATACATTAAAGCTTGAAATTATATTTAGACAGAATGTGTAAAAGCTTACAGAGTGCGAATTATTTTGCTATTCATTCTACATCAACATCAAACATGTAAACTCAGATTTATGGGGGGATAAGAACCATTTTTCCGCGAGTCCTGACCTTGTCCTTGGTCCTGGTGTGTTTTGAGGAGCTGCAGGCCTGTGCAGGCAGCCAGCAGCCGCTGCATCCCATCCAAACTGGCTCCCACCACCTGACTGATCTCCTCCGCTGACAGCGGACGCTCTGCAGCCAGCAGCACATCAAACACACCCAGTTCACAGGAGGTGAACACAGTCTAGGTCAGAGAGGGGAAACCGGCGAGACGCTGATAATATGAAGCAGAACTCAGTGGAATATAAAACATCAAATTAGTTTCTTTGAAGACAAATAAAGAGATTCTGCTGCTTATTTTTGGAATCATATATCACTCAGATTGAATTCATAAAATGTCTAAATAATCCCACATAACTGAAATCTGTGCAAGTTGTGATTTCCTGCTCGGTAAGTCTGATGTTCTTCCATTATGGAGGGGGAGTGACCATACATGTTTTTTTTGTTTTGTTTTTTTTTTAGATTATGTGTTAAAAAACGATCATGTTTCCTTCAACCTAAAATCTATATTGTGTAATTTTCAATAAAGCCTTATATAATAGATGTAAGTAGCAGTTATGTAATAAAATGTTAAAACGTTTAAGTGGAATTAATACTTTTGCAGGGAAAAGTAACTGTAGATGGTGATTATGAGTTAACTAAATATATTTCTATATATAATGCTTCTACCATTGATACAAATGCATCTAATAATTTATTTGACTGCCATTAAATTAAATCATAAAAGTTACCTTTGAGATTAGAAAGCCTTCCATGTACTCCAGTATTTTTCTAGGGTACATGTCTGTAGCAAGTGTAGCTGGTTCCCCTTTGGTTGAACCTGCATCATCACGCTCAGCCATTGTTGGTGCAGAAACCCCCTCCAGGAAGACCTCAGGCTGTACGTCTCTGCAGGTTAGATGATAATTCACTGCTTTGCTCCTCTGCAGATGTTTATGTGAGCGGCGGCGACGGCTGAAGAGGACTGAAAGCAAATCAAAGTGCCCACCCTGCAGCAACAGCAGGGAGAGTAGCAGTGGGCTAAGCTGATTACAGCCAGATAACCTAGATTAGAACATGGATTCAGTTGGGTAGACAAAGAAACAACTCTGTGGAAACACTGGTCCCTTGTTGATTATCACTCACCCACTGCATTCACATACCAGACACTTTTTACTAATTTCATATGAACCTGATTGAAACAGGGTGTCAGAACTTCTTAAAAAATACAAACTCCTCTTCTAAATAGGTTTGAAAACAATCCTGTAAACTCACATTCCCCAAACCTTTGAATAAATAATGTAATATTCATGATATAAGGCATGGCTGCACAGGCAAGGCAAAGAGAGATAAACAAAAGGGCCCCAAGTTAAATCTGTCAAAGCTCAGAAGGGACACTCTGTTGATCAGATAATGGTTAGTTTTTTGTTTGCTTTTTCATTAAATGTGGACAAGAAAAAATATATAGTGAAAAAATAGGTGTTGGAACAAAGAGAATACATCTGATTTACAGTTTAAAGACCCCATCCCAACCATAAAACATGGTGGTGGTAGTACCATGCTGTGGGGATTCAGGTAACTTCGTAGGCAAATGGCTGTTCCAACCTAGCCTCGTGAGACCATCCTGATCTCGCGAGCTTTTAAGGTTTCACTCGCAGATCAGTCTGACTACTCTCCATTAAAGAAAATTTGGAG